TCTTATTTGATTGCTAATTAGCATTCTATCACTAAGGAGCATACACTTAAGGTGTGTGTGACGCAGATGTGGAGCGAAGCGAAGCATAGTTATCTTATTTGATTGCTAATTAGCATTCTATCACTGTGAGCATAAACCTTTAGAGGGGATGCAAATATGAATAGTGTATTTTCGATATCCTATTTGATCACTATTTAGCTTTCTGTTATTGTAAGCACATCCTCTCTATTTGATGATAAAAACTCGATTGTGACATCAAATCAATGATGATTTGTTCACATTTGGTGTATTTTTTGTTAAACTATTTTGATTACTATTTAGCTTTCTGACCCGGAGAAGCATAGCGACTCCGAATGCGAAGCATAGCGGAGCATAGTTATCTTATTTGATTACTAAGACATTTTCTGTCCTGGAGGAGCATAGCGACTCCGAATGCGAAGCGTAGCAGAGCATTAGTTATCTATTTAGTCAACAATTGGTTTTTTAACACTAAGGAGTATACACCTAAGGTGTGAGCGACGCAGTAGCAGAGCGAAACAGAGCATAGTAATCTTTTAGTTATCAATTAGGTTTCTATAGTAAAAAAAGATAGTTAAATTTTATTGTCTTGCAGGCCCGAAGGGTGACTCGAAGAGTCATGGATGGTCTTCAAGCATCTGAAGTTGTCGAGCATAAAATTGTATGATATAATATCCTTTAGAATGTTTTTTGCAACACCCACAAGCAGAAGCTGTAGGTTTTCCACAATCATCACATAAAACACGTTTTTTAAATCTCCAATGTTCATAGCACCCTTCAGGACGTCGACACTCACGTCCGCAGACTTCTCTAGAATTGTGTATATATTCATATGTATATTTACCCCCTGACTTTTTGATATATTTACCTCCCTCGATATATTCAATAAACATTTCAATAAATGAATAATTAATTTTTATTTAAACAAAAGATCTGGTATATTAATAAAAAACACCGAAAAATATATTACTATGGCTAAGATACTTAAATGTCCAGGTTGTGATTGAGAAATAAGAACTGGTAAAACTCGAGATCTTAATAAACACATGAATTTAAATAGAAACCTTCGTAAAGAACAATGCCAACCAGCTTTGCTTATAATGCAAAATGTAGGAAACATTACTTCAGAGCAAAATACACCTCAAACTGAAAACGTTACTCCAGAGCAAAATCCGCCATTAACTCCTGAAAGTAATCTCATATCGTTCGATGAAAACCCACCAACACTTCAGCCGAGAGAGGCAAGTGCACCGGCAGTCGATCTTTTAACTGATGATGTTCCAAATACAGAAGCAGGATCAAGTTCTAATACTCAAGAAGAACAAAAAAAGAAATTAATTTTAATGATAGATGAATTAATAAAATGGTTATCAAAGCCGAAAATAAAAAACAATAAAAAAATTAGATCAAAGCATATACCTAAAAACAATAAAGAATGGTATGATTTAATGGAAATAGATAACGAAAAAGATAGCGAACCAAGTGATTCAGAATATGATACTGCTGAAGAAGAACCAGATATTCATTTAGAAAAAATCAAGGATCCATACATTAATAGAATAGCAGAAGCCAGAAAATTTAATGAAGGTAAGGTATGTGATTATTATGCATTTGTACCAAAAGGATACTATGCCGAGGGTGAGCCATTAGCTTTCTTCGAATCAATCGAAGAAAAAATTGCAGATATTTATAAAAAAGAATTGGTTCTTAAGGGTGGATTAAAGGTAAGAATCGTGTTAATAGCATATATGAAGAAAATTCAACCAGAAACGTCAGAACCCAAATATAAAACTTTTCCATTCAAGCATGAAACTATAGAAATTATTAGAGAAGATCGAATCAATGCAACTATAGAAAAAGGATATAATAAAATTATAGATCAAATAGAAGGCAAGGTATTACAAGAATCAGGATAGTCTTTTGTTCGAGCAGAAGAAGTATTTCTTGAAATAAGCACATTCAGACCATTACAAGGTAGTAGTTGGCTATCTTTACCAGAAGATTTAGATAAGCCATAGCTTGGTTTAATTAATCCGCAAAATTTCAAAGACAATGAATGCTTTAGAGATTGTGTTAATATACACCATGCAAGAGAAGA